GATGCAAGTAATCCTATTCAGTGCGCATCCATCTGACCCGTCGTCGTTCTCGTCATCGTCGGCGTCGGCGTCGTCGTCGTCGTTTTCGTCGTCGTCGTCGTCTTCATTCTCGTCGGCGTCGGCGTCGGCGTCGGCGTCGGCGTCGGCGGCAGCGTCGTCGGCGTCGGCGTCGGCGTCGTCGTTGTTCTCGTCGTCTTCGTCGTCGTCGTCGGCGTCGTCGTCCTCCTCCTTGTCGTCGTCGTCGTTGCCGTTATCGGCGTCGGCGTCGGCGTCGAAGTCGGCGTTGGCGTCGTCGTTGTTCTCGTCGTCGTCGGCGTCGGCGTCGTCGTTTGCATGGGCGTCGGCGTCGGCGTCGTCATCGTCGTCTTTGTCTCCGGTGTCGGCGTCGTCGTCGACGTTGGCGTCGGCGTCGTCGTCGATGTCGTTCTCGTACTCGTCGTCATCGTTCTCGTCGTCGTCGTCGTCGGCGTCGTCGTCGTCGTCGTCGGCGTCGGCGTCGGCGTCGGCGTCGGCGTCGGTGTCGGCGTTGGCGTCGTCGTCGTTGTCGCTGTTGGCGTCGTCCTCGTTCTCGTCGTCGTCGTCTTCGGCGTCGGCGTCGGCGTCGAAGTCGGCGTCGGCGTCGGCGTCGGCGTCGTCGTCGTCGTCGTCGTCGTCGTCGTCGTCGTCGCCCCCCGAAACGCACCAATCGCAGAGGCGCGCTGCAGGCGGTTCACGGGCTGCGAGAGCTTCTCCTTCTGGCAGCCCGGCAGGCACTGCCACCTGCAGGACCCCCGGCGGCGCGAGGGGCGGGGCATCCTCGCGGAGCAGGGCGGGGCCTCCCCGAACGGTGTTTTTTTTCGCGACCTCGCGGGCCGCTTTCGTCCCGACGTCGTTTTTGCGGCAGAGGTGGGCTCGAGGCATCGGGCGAGGGAAAGCGAGGAGGAGGAGGAGGGGGAGGAGGAGGAGGAGGAGGAGGAGGAGGAGGAGGTAGGAGGAGGAGGAGGAGGAGGGGGAGGAGGAGGAGGGGAGGAGGAGGAGGAGGAGGAGGAGGAGGAGGAGGAGGAGGAGGAGGAGGAGGAGGAGGACGAACACGAAACACGCCGTCCAGGTACAGCCCTGCATCGCGGAGCACAGGGTTTCACCCACGAGGAGAGGATGGGCATCGAGGCGCGGAGGCGCTCGCGCGGCCTCGGCGCCCTCGTCGTGGAAAGGCCTCCCCCCGGGGCGCCGCCGCGGCCAGGGCGAGGGCCCGACGAGGCTCTGCGGGACATCGGGGCGCGGGGGGGGCATCGAGGGCGCGGGGGCGCTCGCTCGCCCCTGGCGCGCCCTCCTCTGGGGGGGGGCGCCTCTCCAGCCCGCCCCGGCTCTGGGCAGGGCGGGGCTGGGCATGCTGGGCTGACAGGGAGAGGGGGGGCAGAGCGCCCGCGCGCCGCCGCCCCCTGGAGCGAGCGGCGAGGAGCGCGCGGCGCTGCGTGGGTTCCCCCCCCCCCCCCCGCGCAGTGGCCGCGCGTCGGCACAATGGGGGAATTCCTCAGTCCGGTCCCCGGTCCGGTCCCCGGTCCCGGTCCCCGGTCCCCGGTCCCCGGTCCCCGGTCCCCAGTCCCCGGTCCCCGGTCCCTGGTCCCTGGTCCCTGGCCCTCGGTCCCCAGTCCGCTGTCTCTTCCCCCCTCCTTGCTGCCTGCCTGCCTCCCTCCTCCCTGCACCCTCCCCGCATAATGGTGGAAAACAGCTGCCCGCTGCTCTTCGTCGTTGTGTTTCTGTGTTTCTTGGCGACTGAGACAAAGAGGGACGCAGAGAAAGAGAGAGAAAGAAATTCTTGACGCTTCGCGTATCCCCACCAGCCCATCCAGAATTGATTGCCAGTTTTCTTGAAGCCTCTTGGAGGCTATCTTGAGCCATGCTCGGCTAGAGACTGTCGGAGGCTATATTGAGCCATGCTCGGCTATGTTGGGCCATAGTGAGGCTGCCTTGAGGCCTCTTGGAGGTCTGTCGGAAGCTATCTTGAGCCATGCTTGGCTATCCTAGGCCATTTTGAAGGCCATCTTGGGCTCTCTTGGGCTCTCTTGGAGCCATCTTGGGCCAAAAAGGGCGGGGTGGAGGGTCTTTGGGAGAGGCTGGGAGGCCTCTTGGGGTCATCTTGGGCCCCATGGCTCGAAAAGAGGAGGTCCCTTAATTAGCATCGCCCCCTCGGAGGCTCTCAAACGGCGTCTTGGGGCCGTCTTGGAGCGCTCTTGGGCGCCTCTTGGGCGATCTTGGAGCCGTCTTGGGCCTTCTTTGGGGCTCTTTTGGGCCATCTTGGGGCCATCTTGAGGCTTCCAAAGCCCATCGGAAGCGAAAAGGCGAGAATGCCAAACACATTGGTTTTCCCTAGGCTTTTTAAGGGTTTTGGCATCTTGGAGGGCGCCGTGGAGGGCTCGAAGGGCACTTGGATCCGTCTTGGGGCTGTCTTGGGGCCTCTTGGAGGTATGTCGGAGGCTATCTTGACCCATCTTGAGGTATCTTGGGCCATCTTGGAGGCCATCTTGCGACTTGGAGCGCCTCTTGGAGCCATCTTGAGCCATCTTGGACGCTCTAACGCCTCCAGCCCCCCCCCTCCAGGTCCAGGGGAGGGGGTAGGGGGAGGGGTAAACCCCTCCCCCGAGCAGGGGAAGGAGGGGGAAGAGAGAAGAACAAACTCGCTATACCACCGTAGCCCTAAAGGGCTGGTGGTACTAAGAAGAGAGAGAGAGAGAGAGAGAGAGAGAGAGAGAGAGAGAGAGAGAGAGAGAGAGAGAGAGAGAGAGAGAGAGAGAGAGAGAGAGAGAGAGAGAGAGAGAGAGAGAGAGAGAGACAGAGAGAGAGTCCCCGAAGTCCCGACCCTCTCCGCGGGGCCGGCCTTTCCATCACGAATCGCACTCTGACGGTTCCAGCGCCGTCGTAGGAGGAGGAGGAGGAGGAGGAGGACGGACGGACGGACGGACGGACGGAGGAGCAGGAGGGGGAGTCCGATGCAGCGCCCAGAGCAGCGCTCACTGACCGTGGCCGTTGTGGTCCGAGGCAACCCAAGCTGTCGAGGCGAGGCCTGTTTGCCAGGCGCCCGCCTGACATCTCCAAGTTCATGGTGGGAGCGTGCAAGCATGACGGCTGTCGCTGGGGCAAGGACGGCGGAGCTACGCTCACAGCGGCTACAATCTGCACGTTGTGCAACACGCTGCTGCTCGGAGTGTTGCCCGCAAAGCCCAAACGCCGAGCCGTCGTGAGGTTGCTGCGTGGCCTGCCAGCCGCTGCGCAGGACCGGGGGCCGTCGGAAAACCCACACCCACAACAATACCCATATTCATTGTGCACCAAGAACCATGCCGAAATACATAGCAGAACGATGCCCACCTGCATCAACATAGTTATAGCAGCATACACCACCATGCACACACCACCACCACCACCACGCCATCTACGATAGCCACAACCCGAAGCAAACACAAACAATATTTTGTCCACCGCCACGAGCATACAAAACTCGCTCTCGCATGTACGGATGGCCATTGGCACATGCACATACACCTCTGTGCGCATGCGCGCCAGCCCCAGCACCAAAGACAGAGCCAGATTCAACATCGGAGTCTCGAGCGTTGCCATTCCCAGGCCACGTGCATCCCCAAACTTGGAACAACGTCCCGCCCTGATCCAGGAGACGTGGTTCGCCAAGGCGAGCCCGGAACTGGCCGCCACCGCGCGCGCGGCCGTGGCCCCGGCGAGCGCGGAGAAGACCAGGCCCGCGGAGCGCGGGACAGGGTGCCAGCTGAGCAAGACCGACACCAAGGGCGACAACGACCATAGTGCGCCGGGAGGCGAGGGCGCGCCGAAGGAGACGCCGGAGGGCCACAGTGGCAGCTGGTGGCGCGGCGGTGGATGGGCCCCGCAGTCCACCGCCACGCGGCCCAGGGAGCCCGCGCAAAACGCGCAGGAGGACCAGCGCAGCAAGGGCGACAGCTCGGGCGGCAGCTGGTGGCGCGGCGGCTGGAACGCCGCGTGGTCGAACACCTCGCGGTCGAGCGCCGAGTGGGGCCAGGCGTGGGCGGGCGGCGCGCCCCGCGGACAAATGCGCGCGATCGCATTTTCCGGGGCACCTCGGGCGGCGCGCGGAGAGAAGAGAAGAGCACGGCCAGTTCCCCCCCGCGGTCTGCTTGGGGGAGACAGGGGGTGAATGTCTAAGAAAGTTCTTTCTGCGCGATGCCGGAGGTGCCCCTGGGATGCGCATTTTCGCCGCGGAGCCTGCGCTGTCCGACGCAGGGGTGGCAGCAGCGCGCGCGGCGCGATGGCGGTTCCTCGCGCAGTTGGGGGAACTCCGACACGCAGAAGTGGCAGTCCTCGGCGCAGACGCAGGGAGCCTGGAAGAAGCGCAATCACTGGGACTGGCAGGGGGAGGAGGGCGCGGACTGGAAGCGGCAGAAGTACTGGGAGAAGGAGCCCGACGCAAAGGAGCGAGGCCGCGAGCAGATGTCGGGGAACCGACCGGAAGAGCAGGGGTGGCAAACGGCCGGAGACCGGGGGCTGGGCCAGACGGAGCGCGGCCGCGAGCAGAAACTGGAGCAGAACGTGCAGGAGGTGCAGCGACAGACGGACGCGGAGCAGGGGCGCAAGCAAGAGGACCGCGGCCCCCAGCAGGACTCGGCAGACATGGAGAAGAACGAGGGCCAAACGGACGCCGTCGAGAAGGGGGGGAAGAAGCGGGGCCCGTACGACCACGTGTCAGGTCGCAATGCGTAAACCCAAAGGTGACCATCGCGGAAGGTTGCGCGCGTTCAGGCTGGCGCTGGGCCCGCCCTCGCTCTGCCCGAACGCGCTCCTTCCTAGCGTGGCGCCCATGGTTTGCGCCGCGCAGGGCGGCGCTCTCCAGGAGACCCAGGAAGAGGCCGACTTCAACGCCGAGATGCGGTCGTGGCTCGACGAGGCGGCATGGAGGCAGAGCAAGACCCCGAAGAACGGGCATCTCGTCTGGTTTCACATCGACTTGCAGGAGTCGTTCTGGCAGAAACCCACCCCTGCAGAGCTCGCCGAGCAGAAGACGAAGGACGAAATCGTCGTGAAGGCGGCGAAAATCTTTCTCCGGGGAGGGGGTGCGCAGGGAGCGGCCATGGCGGGGCGAGTCGGCATGAGTGAGCAGGAGGTGAAGGACCGGTGCGCTGTTCTGCAGGCGGCGGCGAAGCGCAGGGAGCAGAGGCAGGGCCATCGGCGTCAGAAGTTGCTCGGGATCTGACCCGCGCGCACGTGAGACGGCCGGAGTGGCTGCGGGAGGCGGGGCGCTCGTCGGGGGAGGAGGAGGGGGATGAGGAGGGGGAGGATGATGATGATGATGAGGAGGAGGAGGAGGAGGAGGAGGGGGGGGGGAGGAGGAGGAGGGAGGAGAAGAGGAGGCGTAGGCGGGAGAGGCGGGCGAGGTAGGCGAGGGCGGGAGCGGGAAGGCAGGATGAGGAGGATCACTATGCGCAGGAGGGGGCGGATACGGAAGAGGGGGTGGAGAAAAGGCGGAGGAGGCGGGGGCTGTCAGGGATGATGAGCGCGAGGGGCAGGCGGTAAGTGCAGCTGATGCACGACGTGATTGTTTATTATGTTTTCGCCGCGCCTTTCACGGGCGTGCGCGGGGGGGGGGCAGTCTCCGCGGCCCGCGGCCAAAAGCATTGGCACCCTTCCTTCCCCCTCCCCCCCCCTCCGTTCCCACCCACCCCGCCGGAGAACGCGACAGAAACAGCGAGGGCGTATCCGGGGTTCCCCGGGGGTGCCCATGAGGTGCCCGGGGGCGGAAACTTCTGGAAGCCCCAGCCGCCTTTCGATAGCTAAAAAAACGTTTCCCGGCCGACCCCGCGCCAGGCCTTCTGTCGACGCGGAAAATGTATGAACGCCATCTGGGGAAACAGATGATCCGAAGTTTCCGGACACCCTTCGTCCTGGAATCGAACAAAAACAGGCGCTAACGACGAATATGTTTCTTTTTTCCGGCGCCCTGGGCCCCCGGGGGCGCGCAAGGAGCCTAACGGCGCAGAATGGCGCAAAATCGATGGCACGTGCAATACAAATCGCAAGGGAAATGCGCCAGAGGCTTCTTGGAATCCCCTCGCGGTAGGAAGGCGTGCAAAAACCGGCCACTATCGACCAAAATCTTCGGCCGTGGCCGTAACCACACCCAGACCCAACCCCAGAAAGACAAGCAGAGCCAGAGCCAGAACCATAGCCAAAACCAGAGCCAGAGCCGGCCCCAGAGCCAGAAGCAGAACCAGAGCCAGAACCAAAGCCAGACCCAGAACCAGAGCCAGAAGCAAAGCCAGAACCAAAGCCAGAGCCCGAACCAGATCCAGAGCCAAAGCCCGAACCAAAGCGAGAACCACAGCGAGAATCAACACCAGAGCCAAAGCCAGAACCGGAGCCAGAGCCAAAACTAGAAGCGGCACCAGAGCCAGAACCAGTGCCAGAACAAGAATCATAGCCAGAGCCAAAACCAAACCCAGAACCAGAGGCAGAGCCAGAACCAGAGCCATAACCAGAACCAACACCATCACGACCAGAGTCAGAACCCGAGCCGGAGCCAGAACAGAACCTGACCCAGAGCCAAAACTAGAGCCTGAACCAGAGCCAGCCCCAGAGCCCGAAACAAAGCCAGAACGAGAACCATAGCCAGAACCAGAACAGAAACCAGAGCGTGAACCAGAGCCAGATCCAGAAGCAGAACAGGAACCATAGCCAGAACCAGAACGAGAGCCAGAGCCAGAACCAGAACCAGAGCCAGAGCCAGAGCCAGAACCAGAACCAGAGGCAGAGCCAGAGCCCGAACCAGAACCAGAACCAGAACCAGAACCACAACCAAAACCAGATCCAGAAGCAGAACCGGAACCAGCGCCAGAACCAAAACCTTAACGAGAGCCAGAGCCAGAACCAGAACCAGAGCCAGAGCCAGAGCCAGAACCAGAACCAGAGCCAGAGCCAGAACCAGAACCAGAACCAGAGCCAGAGCCAGAACCAGAACCAGAGCCAGAGCCAGAACCAGAACCAGAGCCAGAGCCAGAGCCAAAGCCAAACCCAGAACCATGGGCAGAGCCAGAGCCGAGCCGGCCCCAGAGCCAGAACCAGAGCCAGAACCAGAACCAGAGCCAGAGCCAAAGCCAGACCCGGAACCAGAACCAGAGCCAGAGGGCCCTCTTGGATGCCATCGTGGCCGTCTGGAGGCTGAAAAGAACGCCGGGGAGCAATTTCAGGGGGGCCAGTCTGCGATGGGTGCGCGCGAGGGGGAGGGGGGGGGCAGCCCTAGAAAAATAGGAACTTTCCCAAAAATGGACCAGATGAGCATTCTAACACGCCCAGTCCGTGCAGGCACGGTGGCGGATTTCGGACGCCTTTGAGGCACTCTTGGGGCTCTCGTGGAGCATTGTTCAGCGTTTCGGAGGCTGCGTTGGGGACATATTGGAGACCATTTAGGCAGCCAACAAGGCAGCCGAAGAGGCAGCCTCCAAGAAATTGTTGACGCTTCGCGCATCCCCACCAGCCCATCCAGAAACGCCGCCAGGGGAGTTGAAGTGATGAGGCGACCTTGGAGCGCCTTTGGGAGCTTTCGAGGCGCTCTTGGGGCCATCTTGGAGGACATCGATCAAAAAAGAGGATGGTCGCAATTCGCCCTGCCCCTCGGGAGTCCCAAGAATCCCCTCCTGGACCCCTCTTGGGGCGATCTTGGAGCGCTTTGGGGCTCTCTTGGGACAGTATTGGGGCTCTCTTGGGCCTCTCTTGGGGCCCTCATGGGCCCTCTTCGAGCTGACTTGAGGCCTCGGAAGGCCATCGGAAGCGAAAAGGCGAGAAAGCAACAAACATTGATTTCTGTGGGTTTTGTAAAGATTGGGGAGCTTTTTGGCAAGTAAGGTCCGTCTTGGGGCGGTCTTGGGGCCTCTTGAAGCATCTTGGAAGCCATATTGAGCGTTCTTGCGCTCTGTTGAGCTATCTTGGAGGCCATCTTGGACTCTCTGAGGCCCTTTTGGAGCCGTCTTGGGTTATCTTGGACGCCCCAACGCGTCGCGGAACGCCTCGTCCAGGTGCAGGGGGAGGGGGTAGGGGGAGGGGTACACCCTTCCTCGATGGGGAAGAAGGGGGTTGGAAGAGGAAACTCCTTAGACCACCTACGCCCAGAGGGCTGGTGGGACTACTCCACAGGTCGCCGGATGTCATTGGAGGAATAAAGAGGTCCTCCTCCTCTTGGTGCTGCTCCTCCTCCTTTTCCTTCCCCGCTCTAGTCTGCGTAAGCATTTTGGCTCGAGCCGTCTTTCGCTCGCGTCTGGCGGACGCTACTTCGCTGTCCTGCATGCTGCCCGTGCGGCCATTATGGTCTCCACGCCTGTCGTCGACTTCCCCTTCTTCACCGCTTCGCCCGGCGGCGCAGCAACCACTCCTCGCGCCGCCTGGGACAGGAGGCGGTCGTGAACACGGTGGCCGCTGCACTGTGGACGCTGGCGCGGCGCCAGTGCGACCGTTGTGGCGAGCAGCGGACCTGCGGGCGCACCGCCAACCGTCCGCCAGTGCTCCTCCGCCGCCGGTGCGGCCGTTGTGGAAGGCTTGCGTTGCAGTTGCGCGCCCGGGGCCTGGGCCCCAGGCCATGGAGGCGCTTGCCGGCGCAGACGACGCCGTGCGTAGTTCCGCCGCGGCAGCCGCATCCTGCAGGGGCTCCGGCGCCAGTGGCGTTGCGGCGGCGCATCCGCGGTCTTGCTCTGCTACGCGCCCAGGGTCCGGCCCGCGGGCCATGGGCGCGCCCGCAAGCTCACGCGACGCCGTGCCTGGTTTTGCCCCGGCAGCCGCATCCAGCGGGGGCTCCAGTGCTGCAGGCGCCAGGGCGGCGCTCCTGCCAGAGCTCACGACGACCTGGTCATGCTGCCTTGTTTGTTCGGGCCCGTTGGTCCCTGTGCCGCAAAGGAGCCCGGTGAAATGCTTAGTTGTGTCGGAGCCGCGGTGTCTTGTAATGCGTCACTACGCCAAACAATGCAAACGCAGTTGCGACAAGGGGCACATGTATAAGTACTGGCGTGGGTACGTTGAGTCCCCTTCTGGGAATGGCCAGGGCGGTTTCACGAAGAGGGTGGATACCGGTTGTCCTGCGTCAGAGATCTTCATGCTCAACAAGTCTTTCGGCGTGCATGATCAGTGGGCGCAGCGGCGGGCCTGCCGTTTGTACGCGCACAGGGCGTCCTTCCTTGGAGAGGCCCAGATCTTGCGGGCGTTGGAACCAGAAGTCGCCACGGAGACTCTGGAGCAATCGCTGGAATCCGCATGGGTGCGGCACCAGATGTGGCAGAGATCTTTGGAGCGCGAGGGCGCTCGCGCTGCCCTGGCAAGCTCTTTGTTGGAATTGCCTCTGGAGAGCTTCCTGCAGAGTTGCGCATCCTGGTGCCGCCCTCTCATGAAGGAGCGCCGCCTCCGCGCGTGGCGGGCCAGCGGGGACAGGATGGACATCGTCTGCGTCGACGGCAACGCCAAGCTGCACCGGCGATCGTGCGGCGCGCCGTGCGCCGAGGCCCCTTACCACGACGCCCTGGACTTGCACTTGGTGCGTGGTTGCCCAGAGTCGCCTTTGCAGAAAGGAGTGCTTTGCCGGCGTCACCAGGAGCTCGCCGACCGCCCTGCCCTCGCTGGAGAAATCGAAGCGCACCGCGTGCGGGCGCCCCTGTCCGCCATGGCTTACCTTGACGTTGAAGTGCGAATGACGGGCTTCGCTAATTGGCAGCCCGCGTGCACGGTCCCCGACTCGACCGTGCAAGCGTATTTCGCTAAGAATGCAGAACTGGCCATTCAAGAGCGCAAACGCCGTCGTCAAGAGCGCAGGGAGTTGCGCCGACAACCGCTTCGCTTGGTCTTAGGCGACTGGGCTTCCGGATACGCTAAAGACAATTCGCGCAAGACGCGCAAGGGGTCTGTCTCGGCCATCCGCGCGGCAGAACGGTCGGCCGGCTTCCTTGCCGCAGTCTCAGAGAGCGGGATTGTCGGTGCTCTTGAAGAAGTGATTACTGCTGAGACGCTTTCCCAGCGCTATTGCTTTTTGGCAGACGTGGCAAGTGCCGCCCCGGAGCTCAAGACGCCCGTGCACGACGAAGCGCGCCACGTGCGTTTATTCGCCGAGGGCAGGGCGGAGGGCGCAGCGCCCGGCAGCCTGGCCGTTCGCCTGGGCCAGTTTCGGTACGTCGTCGACCGACCCCACAGCAAAGGGCACGTCGATGCCACGTGCAAGGCGGA